CTTGTTCGCTCCAAGCAAAGGGTATATTCCAAGCTTTTCTACTTATCTCGGGCTGTGGATATTTACTGCACAACAGAGTTAAACACCTAAAAGGTATTTTATAAAAAACATTAAAAAGGTGATAAAATTTCAATTGATTAAAAAAAAAACAATATATATACCTCTCTATAGTCATAATGGTGGGATCAAACTAATATATTACTATAAGGAGATTATAATTCAATTGAGCTGTAGTTACAAAAATTATTGTTTTCATTTCTTATTTTATAATTCATGTTTTAGTAGTATGTATTAGAATTTCAATTGATTATTTTAGTAGTCATTGCTGCAATTAGACAATAAGAGAAATGAAATAATCCTGAGAATGATAAAACGGAAATACAAAAAGTTTCATGCCTAGAAGCTCTAAACATGCTTGAGAAGCTATTAACATTTTGGCTTCAACGAAAAGGTTTCTAAGCTAGCAAGTAATGACATACCGACAAGTTAAAAGGTATTGTAACAACTCTAAAGCATAAATCATTGTCTCAAACAACTTTAAATAAATATTTTATTTCATCTTAAATTTTTAGTGTAACATAGCATTTTTTTTTTTTCAATAGACAGATAATTACTAGTACGTGGAGATAACTTTCTTAAGACGGGAATTAGAAAAATTATAATTTATTATAATATTGAGTTTATNATTTATATATATATATATATATATATATATAGTCATAATGGTGGGATCAAACTAAGATATTACTATAAGGAGATTATAATTCAATTGAGCTACAGTTACAAAAATTATTGTTTTAATTTCTTATTTTATAATTCATGTTTTACTAGTATGTATTAGAATTTCAATTGATTATTTTAGTAGTCATTGCTGCAATTAGACAATAAGAGAAATGAAATAATCATGAGAATGATAAAACGGAAATACAAAAAGTTTCATGCCTAGAAGCTCTAAACATGCTTGAGAAGCTATTAACATTTTGGCTTCAACGAAAAGGTTTCTAAGCTAGCGAGTAATTACATACCGACAAGTTAAAAGGTATTGTAACAACTCTAAAGCATAAATCATTATCTCAAACAACTTTAGATAAATATTTTATTTCATCTTAAATTTTTAGTGTAACATAGCATTTTTTGTTTTTCAATAGACAGATAATTACCAGTACGTGGAGATAACTTTCTTAAGACTGGAATTAGAAAAATTATAATTTATTATAATATTGAGTTTATTCTTATTTATAATCATCCCAAGTTGGGATTGAAATTTTGTATGACTATGTAGACATTATTCCTATATAAAGTATCACTATAGAGAGATTTTACTATATATATATATATATATATAGGTTAGAGTAGCTTTTCAAATAAAATACTATTGTTTTTTTAACAGTAAACTCCCAATAGGTTTCACAGAATCAATAAACACCTACTATTTTAATTAATACAACTTAGAAAGTGGTGAACACCAAAGCCCAATGAGTAGACCTGGCAAAATGGGTCCAGACCCACGGGTCGGCCCGTACCCAGGTAAAAAATATAGGGTATGGGTTTAATATGTTGGACCCGTTTAATTCCCACCCGTACCCGGCCCGACCCGACCTGTTTTTTGACGGGTTACATGGGTAAACTTGCGGGTACCCATTTTTTTAAAAGTTGAACCCTAAGTCCCTAACCCACTAAGGCACTAACGCCACCCAACTCTAAAACAAACTTTCTCTTCTCTCTCACGCCTCTGAATCTCTCATCACTGTCACTGATTCATTCTCTCAATCTCTTATCTCATCACTCTGTTCAGTGTTCACTTCAGTAGACTGTCATCACTCATCATTGTCATCATCAGTCATCACTCTCATCCGTGAACCGTGATCCCATTCCCAGACCCACCGTCGCTGATTGCCGTCATTCATCCTCGTCGGCTCGTCATCTCGTCTCTCTATCATCATCGTCATGATTGAAGGAGTTGGCTCTTGTTGTTGTTACCAGTGAGATCAGTGTAACATCTACTGAAAACTGTACAATGCATGCATAATAACAATAGAAAAGTTGGGCCCAAAGTTTTCTTTTCATTACAATTCATGTGTCTTTTATACATAAAGAGTACTGTTTACAAAAATGTATTTTAAAAGACAAAACAGGGGAAACAGTGTAGCTATTCCTCATTGCTTGCCGACGCCCCTCCGACCGCAACTCACCTATGAACCTGCATCCACAAAGGAAAATAACGGGGTGAGCACAAAATAATGCTCAGTAAGTAAAACTCTCTATCTGTCTGTCCCGTATGAATAACTCTTAATTCTTCCTTATGCTATCTTCATTCTATTTCTGTTTCTAATAACATCATGGCCTCATCTTACCGGAGGTACGGCCGGATGGCGTCACACAACACCATCTCACTCTCTATGACTATCGGGTGGAATTCACATAGTACCAAACCGTTCTTAGTGACTACGAGTGAGGATCACAAAGCACCAACTCGGTTCTTTCTAACTATCGGGTGGAGATCACCTAGCACCTACCCTTCCTCATGAATTTTGGGTAACGATCACCAAGCATTTACCGTCTTAGTCACTATCGGGTGATGGTCACAAAGCATCAACCGTTTCTACTAAATGTCGGATGATGATCACAAAGCATCAACCTAACTTTATCTATCACTAACGGGTAGCGGTCACAAACATCTACCATTTCTACTACTCATCGGGTGACGATCACAAAGCACGACCCATCACTCTAAGGCTATTCGGATGATGATCACCAAGCATCAATCGATTCATAACGGTCGGGTGATGATCACAAAGCATCATCCCAACTATACTACTCTTCTAATCATTCTATTGTAGCATTTTTCAATGCTCTCTACCCTTAGAGTAATTTTACCCACTAAGCTCTCTACTCAAGGGTAATTGCATAACCATTTCTTACACTTTCTTAGGTCACTTTTCCATGTACAACTAGTGCCTATGGATGGTTATCTTCACCAATGCACTTATGAGATGCCAACATGCAATGTTGCAAGAATTAAGGTTCATTACTCACACTCAAACCTCTATTAGGCATTTCATCAAACAACTCATGTGCACTATAAAACTCTATCATAGCCATGATTCTAAAACTTTTCTTAACCATCCAAAATGGGGAAAAAACCCCTTCACAAAGCCACAAAAAACTGCCATAGAAAACACTTCCAAAAGGGGATCCATAATACCCTTAAATTCCATCTCAACACCTTGCCAAACCAACAACCCATTTCTCAAATTTGCAAGGTAAACAATCACAAAGCATAGAAATCTCTATTTACCTTCATACAGCTATATTACAAGCACATCACATACATACATCATTTTATCAAAACCTAATCAAGAAATTCATAAATCTCAACTTGGGTTGGGTTTTACTTACCTTGTTAAGGAGAGACTTCACAAACTCTTCCTTTCACTTGCTTAGCTTGATTTCTCCTCAAATCTAACCAAAAGAATGAAAACCCTCACACACCAAAATGAACTAAAACTCAAAAATATCACAACTTAAGGAGAAATCCTTACCTTAGGAAGCCCTAGGTTGCTTTTCTACTCCAAATCACTTCAAAAAACCCCTTGAAAAACTTTGATCAAAAGAAAATAGAAGTTGAAAGGAGAAGAATGAAGAGTCACTGTTTGGAAGAAGAAGAAAGAGGGGTTCTGATTCTAATTCCTTTTAATGAAATATAAACACAACTCATTCCCATTTTGCCTTGTTCTACTTTGGGAATTCCATCCATATCCTTTGATTCATTACAAACTCACCCTATCTCAACCTATTCTCCATGAAATATCCTTACAATTAACTCCCCACTTTTCCTGCTAATTAGGGGTAGAAAGGTCAAATTGTCCTTAAGGAAGAAAATAACTAAAACTCAATCAACCTTTTCGGCTGTCGCCGCCGCGGCGAAGAAACCCTTGTCGCCGCGGCGAAACTTTCCAGGGAGATTCCCTTGGTTTCCACACATCTTCGCCGGGCGAAGCTTTTCTTCGCCCCGGCGAAGCACGGCCAGATGAACTTCTTCTGTTTTCAACCAAAATTCAGGGCAAACATTCACACAACACTCAATCAAACAATAATAACAAAACCAACCGATTAGGGCAAAAGAGGAAAACATAACAACGTACCTCAAGCGGGGCGTTACAATCAGCTACTGAGCTCGTTTAATGTTCGATGGGTCTCTAAAAGATGAAATCATGTGATTAAAAACATTATTTTTTAACATCTTTAGTGACCGAAGGTAGCGTCTTGATTGCTTATTGTTGCTTCTTCTATTTCTATCATTTGAATATTATACTAGGGTTTTTTTTTTTTGTTGCTTTAGAGCTAGTTGAAGAGAGTAGCAATTTCATGGATGAGGATGGTTTATCGAACACAAACCGAGAAATTTTTCTAGCTCAAGGGCCAACCCTTCCAATATTACAGAAGATTATATGTTGAGCAATAAGATTCAGAAAAATGGCGTTCTTGTATCACTTCACTTTATTTCTTGCTGACAGAAGTAGGATAGTTTAGTCTTATTTTAGGCAATTGAGTTTCAGAAAATGAACGATTTGTTCGTTAGTTTATTTGTTAGGTAGGTAATTGCTTGTTTGGTATCAAGTTCTGTAAAATTAGAGTCTTCTCTTGTTTGTTTTTTTATTGGTTTCGGGATTAATGTTGATGCTTTTGTATAGGATTTGAAGAGAGATCACTCAAGTCTTTCAGATCAAGTGAAGAACATGAATACTGATTATTTTCCTGGCCCTGGTGTTTTAGACAATCTTCAGAATCTCAGTGAGTATCAGATACTGATTTTGGCAATTTGTTCTCGCCTTTTTTTTCTTCTTTTGTTTTAGTGATTTTAATTGTTATTATGGTATTAGGTAATGAATATGAGCTTTTAAAAAGAAATACATGATGAGTCCTCTGAACGAAAGTGGTTTTACAATGAAGTGATTGAGTGGAAAGGCAATATTAGGGTCTTCTGCCGATGTAGACCTTTAAATCAAGCTGAAATTACTAATGGGTCCAGTTCTATTGTTGAATTTACTCTTCTCAAGAAATGAGTACAAATATTTTCTGTCAAGTGAAGGGTCAGAAGCTCCTTGAGTTCCATTGAAGTTGTAGAGCCTAGAGTGGATTGGAGAGCAAGAGCTTCTACCAATGGTGTGAGAGCCCGAGAGTACAACCAAGTCAAGGATGTTTAATCCTTTGCTTTCGAACAGATTAATCAAAGTTGTGATGTTTTCATTTCCTTGAGGAACCAGACGATTGGCTTCTCTATTTATGGAGATTCTTCCATCTTTTTGTCCAAATGGGACTTCCCAGAATGGACCTCCAGCTAGAAGCATGGCATCTTTAGCGACTACTGTGAGAATGGCTGCACATGAAACAATTTTGGGGCACTGTCTCTCAACTTCTGATTTGATATCATTGATCACTTTGTAACCTCTTAGATTCTTGCTGGCCTTCTTATTAGTTGCAGGTTTTGGAGGCACATTATTAGCCAACACAACTACAGAGAGCTGCAATTGAACAACAAGTATCAGAACAAAGAGAGAAATAGGATTCATTTTCATTGGCTAGCTAGAGTAGGAAGCATGAAGCTTTTTTGAAGATTACTGGGTGTCTTCTTATATATAAATTGTAGTTCGTTTACCTAATTAAACATAATTATATACAAGTTCTAGTATACTCCTGCATAAAAAATAATTCCAAGATAAAACTACGTGAGAGGCACTCTTAGATCAGAGTAGAAAGACAGACACGCAGACATGTAAAAGTTATTAGATCTACTTATAATTAAGTCAAATAATAGTTTATTAATTCTCAATTTCTATTACATTTGTTAATAAAATTATCTGAGGTAGGAGCATTAGAGGTTCTAGTGTCCACATCAATTCTTCTAAGTGTCAAAATTATGCTCTATAAATATTTTGGGGGTGTAACTGTCATAGTTGAAAACTGTTGGGGTGAAATTGTAAAAATTAAAATCTGGAGAGAGAAAAAACGGGTACTCGTGGGTCCACCCGTACCCGTATAGGGTACGGTATGGGTCCAATATCTTAGACCCGTATATCTTGACCCGTATTGGGCCCGTACCCGTTTGGACCCAACCTGTACCTGGCTATAATAGCTGCTTTCTACGCATATACTCATAAAATATACATAATAAAAACACATGTAAGATAACATAAATAGTTGGGCCCAAAATTTTTCATTTATTAAACATATACATTCGTTACAAAAAGTTAGTATCGTGTACAAAAACTATCAAAAACTATGTGGACAGTGTAGCCATTTCTCCTCGCTTGCCGACACCCATCTGACCGTGTCCTCACCTAGATCCTACAAAAACATAGAAAAACAACGGGGTGAGCACAAATAATGCTCAGTAAGTAAACCCTCTACTCATTTACCCCGTAACTCTATCACTCTAATTATTTCCTTACAATTCTCATTTACTCTCTCTTCTATGTTTTTCTCAGTTTTCTCTTTCTACTAACTCTCTTTTGTAAGTCATGACCCCATCTTACTAGAGGTACGGCCGGGACTCGCTCCCGCTCTCCGTGACTTTTACTCATTCTCAGCCGATCAGACTCGGTTAAGCATGGATTCGGAACCCTTGGCCATGTGAGTGTATAATCTCTCTCTCTCGGGTACTCTTAGTATAGCCCTCATCCGCATGCACTCTCACGGGCTATACCACTTTTCTCTCTCATACTCAAGCCGCTATCTCTTTTTGCAGCGTACATGCAGGAATACTCTACCCATTACTCACGGGTTCCCCATCGCACAACTTACTCTATTCTCTTTTTCTCTCTTTTCTTTTAGAAAAGCTCACACTCAAAGTCCTCTACTCTTTTTCTACTCTTTCTCTAATGCATAATTAATGCATATGGATGATTCATGCTCATTAATGCACTCATGAAATGCAATTATGCCATGTAGCAATAATTAAGGTTCTCTACTCTTACACATGCCTTTCTCAAGCATTTCATCATACAACTCATGTGCATATAAAACTCTACTTTAATTATAACTCTTCTCCTCTTTAACCTTCCCAAAATGGGAGAAAACTCTCTCATAAACTCTAAATTCCTGTCAATGAAAGAAACACTTCTATAGGGTTTACTCAACTTCAATCAAACTCAACTCAACACCATAAAATCTCAACACTTCTCATACTCAAATATATTCGATAATCATAAATAACTACTCATCTCATCTCATCTCAATTTCTCAACAAATATAATTCATACACATACATACACAAATCTCTACTCAAATGAATTCTTAAAACTTAGCTTGGGTTGGATTTACTTACCCTTGTGAGTAAATAACTTCTCTAGCACTTTTCCTTCCCTTTTGTAGCTTGTCCTCTCCCTACAACTTTAAACAATAACAATATAAGACTTCAACACAACTATAAGCAAATATACAGCTAAAGCAAGAATCCTTAACTTAGGATGCTTTAGATGAAATCTTTACTAAAAACTACCCAAAAACTCCCTAAAACTCCTTAGAAATCTTGGAAGATTGAGTGGAGAATTGAGAGAAATTAGGCAATGAGAATGGCGGTGGAGATGGTAAAGAATGAAGGGCTTTTCTACACTTAAACCCTTTTTAATTCAATTTACATACAAGCATTCCCATTTTGCCCTTACCCTTTCTTGGAAATTTCATCCTTCTCCTTTAATTCCTTGCAATCACACCCCCAACTCCAACACATTCTCCATAAAATTTTCTTACATTTCACTCTCCACTTGTCCTGCTAATTAGGGCTAGAAAAGTCATTTTACCCCTATGGAGAATTCTCTAGAAACCTCAAGAAATTTTTCTGCCGTCTCGTCGCCGCGGCGAAGAAAGTTCCGTCGCCCCGGCGAAAAATTACAGAGCCTACATCGCCGCGGTGAAGACTTTTCTTCGCCCTGGCAAAGACTGTAATTTAGAAATTCTCCAAGTTTCAACCAATTTCAGGGCAAACACTCCATCAACTCAACTCATACATTCAATCAAGGGCCAACCAACCAAAAATAACAACATACAAACTCAATTGAGGGTAGAACAATAAACATTCAAGCAATACAGCAAATCTTAACTACGTACCTCAAATGGGGCGTTACATCGGCCCACCCGCCCGTTTTTCCAGGTTTACCAATGAGAGATACAATTTCTCAAATAATATGCTAATTTGAATATTATAGAACTAGAAATTGCGTGTTTTTCATTTATCTTGAATATTATATTGCATTTCTATAATCACTTTTTCCCTAAAGATCACATGTATTACTTGCTTTTATTTTTATTTTTTGAATTTTTAGTATTAATATTTTTTTCTAAATTTCATATATCTTTAGTTTTTGGTTTCATAAATTTTGAAGAAATTTGGGCGTGTTTTCTTTGTGAATAAGATGGTAATGATACTGGAAAACAAAATAGGAGGATAAAAGTGTAACAAATATTTTTAACAAAGTATCTCGAAAGAAAGGAATTAAATGCGTCATATGTGAACAAAAATATCTTTAAATTTAAGTTAAATAATATTGTTATATTTTTTAATTAATAAACTGATTCAATGGATTATTATTTCAAAATTATTAATATCTTGTACTTCACAATAAATATTTTTAACTAAAAAACTCTATAAAAGTAAAAGCAAACAAAAAAAATAATAATATATAATAATACAGCAAATAAATTTATTAATATTAACCAATATATCAAGAAGTTAAAAATTATTATGACAAAATTACCCCTAAATTTTAAAACTAATGTTACTCTATAAAATAATTCCAACTATCTAGAAGAATGAAATTATACAAATTAAAATCATATTTTGTGGACATTTACCAGAAATAATTTTGTAGCAAACAAAGTTAGAGACATATTTTTTTTTTAATCACAAATTGTGATACAATTTTTAATTGAATTAAAACACTTTAGTTACTTATCCCAAAAAAAAAACAGAATCACTTTAATTAGTTGAATGAGTTGATGATAAAAGAACAAATGAAAACTTAATTTTATACGGTCTCCTGAGTTCGAGTTCTCATGAACTCTAATAGGGATAGGTACTGGAGCTCTTATCTAATTGATAGTTTGAGGATCTTGAAAAACTAGTTAAGATGCTAGTGAGCTGATGCCAATACCCCGGTCATAAAAAAAATAAAAAATAATAATTGCCTTGAAAATGATATAATTTAGATGCAATTTATAATCGGTCAAAAGCATTAATTTAAGAATCTCAAAAATTATATTATAAAAATTCTTGTTGACTGGAACATAATAAATGAAATTACCAGATGGCAAGTTTATTTGGTCACAAACAACGAGAGTTAATCTTCTCTAATGATGATGTCAATCAAGTTAACATGGAATCGATAACCAATCAATTCTAGGAGATTGTTAACATGGAATCGATAACCAATCAAGCTGAAGAGGATTCCATTTGCTGAACCATTCTGTCCATCGAAGTAATTGTTGATGCGGAACCTTTTTCTTGTTGAATCGGAGCATTTGATCAAAAGACTTCATATCTGTTTCAACCAAGAAATGATGTCCAACAAGATGGAATTCAAACCTTTCAATGACATTTTTTACTGCTAATACTTCCTTGAAAGTAGAATGATAATGTTGTTGATGTGGTTTGAATTATCCACTCTGGTATCCACACAAATGTCGTACTTTGTCATCATCTTGTTCAAAAAGTACTGCACCCCAATGAGTGTCACTAGCATCCATCTGAAGAATTCGTTTCCTAGAAGAAGGAATCTTCAATGGCTATGTATGGAAGGATTTGCGTTTAAGACTCTTGACTACATTGGTTTGCTTTTCAGACCACGAAGGAGAATTCTTCTTAAGTATCTGGGAAAGTGGAGAAGTGAGTTGAGAAATGTTAGGAATGAAACTGCGCATGTAATTGGCAATTCCCAAGAATTGTTGTATTTCTTTCTTGGTTGTTAGAACATCTGGGAATTTTTTCAACTCATTAGCAATATGAGGTTGAAGGTCATACTTACTGTCAACAATCACCATACCAAGAAAATTAATCTTTGTCTGCCCTAACTGCATTTTCTTCTCAGAAAGCATAATACCATAAGAGTGTATGATATCAGCAAATTTATGAAGAAGACGTATATGAGATTCCTCATCTTTTGAAAAGAGAAGAGTGTCATAATATAAATGAGACATGTATGAAGAAGGGGAGCAAAAATCTTCGTCATGGCTTTCTAAAACAAGGAAGGAGCGACCTTAAGGCCAAAAGGCATGATCGTCCATTGGTAATGTTGGTTGGGAATGCAAAAAGCAGTCTCATGATGATCATTAGGATGAATTCCAAGTTTCCAAAATCCAGCTTTGAGATCAAATTTGGAAAACATCTTTGCATTATGGAGATTTGCAAAGAGAACTTGTCTAGAAGGCAGAGGAAATTTATCATCACGAAGAAATAAATTCAATGACTGATAATTGATAACAAGTCTGAGTTTTTCTCTGGCTTGTTCAGCACGTTTATTGATATAAAAAGCTTCACATGCCCATTGGGAATCTGTGGGTTCAATCAATCCTTGAGATAAAAGTTGAGTACATTCTTGTTGGGCGGGGCTGAGATGTTCTGATGACATGCCAGAATGACTAGCTTTGGTAGGATTGATATCTTTGCTCTTGATGAATGGAAGATGGGTAAAGAAATCAGAAATTCTTCCATAATGGATTAGCACATTTAGTGAGAAAATCTGCATGAGAATCTGCACAAGAGCGAGAAATAAGCTGGGTTTTGATCTGCTCAATAGGATTGCCTTCAATCTGGAATAAGTTAGGCTGAGTGGTCCAAGATTGGAAAAACATCTTGTACCAAACACCATCAGGGAGGATTCTAAGTTTATTGAGTTTGGAATAAACATCAAAACGTAGAACCATAACTTTGACAGGTAAATCAGAACCAAGAACTTTATGAAAGTTAAAACATCCGGGAAAAAATTGGATTTTAATGGGTTTGCTAATCAGATGAGTAGTGAAAGTGTCACTATTAGTAGTGTAGAAAACTTCTTAATGAGATTTCCACTGAGAAGATGAGAGGATCTTAGGGTTGATTATAGTACGAGTAGCACTAGTATCAAAAAATGCTATGACTGAAATGGGATTGGAATATTTAGTAGGGAAGATCTGAACTTTTACTGTAGGTACGTGACATGAGAAGGCTAATGATGGAAGGGATTGTGGTATTTTTTGGATATGGTAGAAATAGTGACAATCATCTGAATCAGAGAACTTAGTATCAGTGGCTACAAACTGGAAAACAGTGTCTGAAGTGGGTTCATCATCCATTGAAAACTAGCTTTCAACATTATCATCAAAAAATCTATATCAGTGAGCTGAGAAGGCTGTTGCATCATTTTGGCTGATTGTTTGGGCTTGTTTGGACATTTTTTGGCAAAATGATCAAGACGGTTGCATAAATAACACCGATTAGATCGTTTGCCTCTATGTTTCTTTTTTCGAAGAAACTTACGGTACTTGAAACATCAAAATTTGTGCCTGGCAAGAGCACTAGGTGGAGAAAACTTTATGCGTCTGGAATGAAACTTCTTATTGGTAGGACAAAGACATGAGCATCTGATTTGCACTTGATCTGCAAGTCTAGTCTCTGACAAACCTTTGTCAGCTGCATAGAATGCTTCAGATAATCGACAAAAATTTTTTTTTGAGAATAGAGTTTTTCCAGAGCAAGAATGACAAACTGATAAATTTATCTAAGAGAAGTGGAACCAAGTTGTTTGTTTTGAGACTGCATAAGCTCAGTTGCTTCATGACTTAGGGATTCTGGAATAGACGCTAAAAAGGCTTGCTTCATGTTAGGATCATCCATACCCCTAAGAATATGATATCTTTTAACCATCTCTTTGTAATGTCTGTGAAGATCTTTCTTTTTTAGAGAACAGCACCGCATCTTAAAATATTCTTCTCTGACCTGGTCCTTATAAAGGTGAGGTAATCCACAAAATTCATCATAAAAGAGATACAGAGCTTGATTAATATTTGGCATTTGGATGAACAAAGTTTGTTTGTACTCCTTAAGACTAATCCGCCAATCACGGAGAATGTCACCAAATCTAGCTGTAAACTGCATAAGTATAGTAGAGACTTGGGCATTAGGTTTAAGCATCTCAGCTTGTAACCAAGCTTGAAATTCATACATCCGATTTCTCCATTTGTATGGAGGAAGATCATCAACAGTAAAAGCATGGAGCTTTGCTGAAGTTGTAAAAGAGTCACGCTCAGCCGTAGTATGATGGGATTGTCAATACCTAGGTAGAGAGTCTGGAATGGAATCATCACCTTCAAGCATCTCATCATCAAACTCAGAGACAACAGGTGGTTTTGAAGATTCGGGTTAAAGGGTAATCAATTGGGGATAAACATTAAGATGTTGATCAGAAGTATCACTTTCAGAATCAAAACTATTCTGAAAGTGATACTTCTTATCAACATCTTAATTTCTATGGATTTCATTTTAGGTCTTCCTAGAGTGCAAAGGGGTTATAATGCCATTTGGGTGATTGTAGATAGATTGAATAAATCTGCTCATTTCATTCCAGTTATAGACAAGATGTCTTCTAATCAGCTAGGCCGATTATACATCAAAGAAATAGTAAGATTACATGGAGTACCTAGTAGTATTGTCTCAGATAGGGATGTGAAATTTATGTCAGTATTCTGGAGTAGCATGCAGAAGGCATTGGGTACTAGGCTTAATTTCAGCACAGCCTATCATCCTCAGATGAATGGACAGACAGAAAGAACGAATCAAATATTGGAGGTTACGTTATGGGCTTGCTGTATGGATCACAAGTTGAATTGGTATGACATTCTCGCTCTAGTTGAATTAACTTATAACAATAGTTATCAAGCAACCATTAAAATGGCACCATATGAAGCCTTGTATGGAAGGAAATGTAGGTCACCATTGCATTGGGATGAATTGGGAGAAAAAGATGCATTAGCTCAAGCTTTCAGTCCAACAATGATACAAAAGATGATAGAAGATGTAAAGCTGATCCGAGAGAGAATGCAACAAGCACAAGATAGACAGAAGAGTTATGTAGATCCAAAGAGGAAGAATATAGAATTTCAAGCGGGAGATAAGGTATTTGTAAAAATCACTCCTTATAAGAAAGTGATGAGATTTGGAAGGAAAGGAAAGCTTGCTCCTAGATACATTGGTCCATTTGAAGTGTTAGAGAAAGTTGGCAAGATAGCGTATAGACTTGCATTACTAGTCAGTATGGACCAAATACATAATGTGTTCCATGTTTCCTTATTGCGAAAGTATATTCATGATCCTTCTCACATACTTCAAGCAGAAGAAGTGGAGCTAAAAGATGACCTAATTTACGAAGAATGTCCATTCAGATTCTGGATAGAAAAATTAAGGAACTCCAAAACAAGAATATATCGCTTGTTAAAGTATTGTGGAGAAATCATAATGTTGAAGAAGCAATATGGGAGGTCGAGCAAAACATGAAAGAAAAGTATCCAGATCTCTTCAATTAAATTTCGAGGATGAAATTCTTATAAGGAGGGGAGGATTTTAAACCCCCGCGTCAGCGTTCCAAAGCTATAAGGTATGTAATTCTACCCTTAAACGGATTTTATCAATAAAAGGGTAAAATGGTCATTTTGCATGCATTATGAGACGTGAATGTTGTAAAGTGTTAGGAATTGATGATACTGATAAGAAATATGGTTAAAGGGTCATGAAGGAGGTTAGTAAGGCTAAACGGCATAAACGGTTCCCAAAGGGTATAATGGTCTTTTCACAATAATTTATAGGAATCAAGTATCCATAAAAGTGTATTATGGGTAAATTAGTTAATTATCTTATGTATTTACTTGGTCACCAAGTAGAAAAGAGAAGTCAAATGGCATTAAAGGAGTGTAATAATAATGTTGTAGTAGAAATGACCAAAATGCCCTTATATGCAAAATTTATACCAAATGACCCATATATCTAACTTTTGATGGCCAATCCCATTTGGGAATTAAAAAAATGAAATATTTATAAGATCTTTTCTTGGTTAAGTTGGCCAACACTCTTAGAACACCAAACTCTCTTCTTCAAGTCTTATTTTCCTCCATTAAAGGCTTTAATTCAAGCTCTCTATCTCAAAATTTTCATAGGATTTCAAGTTGAATTTCGAAGGAGATCACCATCCACACTTAAAGAACTTCAATTTCAGGGTTTAAGGTGAGTTTTAAAACCCTAGTTTTTTCTGATTTTTAGGTAAAAGAGAAATTCATAAGTGGCTATGTGTGTAAGGTAGAAAGGGTTGGGTGAACCTTTGGAGCTAAGGAGGAGTGTCTTTGTGCTTTGAATACTAAGGTAAGGAAAAAAAATCTCCCTTATGACTACAATTGATAACACCTAGGGTTGATGAAACTTACATCTATTTATGTTAATTTGAGTGTGATGCTATGTTTTGGTTATTGATTGTTTAAATGGGTGTGTTGATTGGTGTATATGTGCATATGGAGGATGATTTTTCCAATTAAGAGGTTTGTAATTGGACGATGTTTTGGCACTTTTTGGTTTTGTAAAAAGGGAGGTTTTTATGGCCTTTTATACTTAGAATGATATGGCAAATACTATGAATGTGCAAATAAATGTGACATGGTTAAAAATGAATAGAATTCGGATTTGGCTTTTTAAGGCTTATATTGTACATGATTCACTAAATCAGTCATAACTGAAGTTATAAAGTCTGATTGAGCTGATTCTTGAGGTATTAAAAAGTTTAGAAATAGACCTAAAACTTTTATGTTTTAGCCAAAAATCAATTCGAATTGGAAGATGAGGAAAAAATTGCTTGAAAAGTGACGAACTGTATGGCATCTACCTCCTTAATAAAAAATCCCATCTTTTTTATAATTTCTAATAAACCATTGAATAATCTTACTGTTGAAATTCTTGTGTTGTATGAGAAATCGAATAAATTAAGTTAATGAATTTAATAGGAAAATATTCATGTCATGGAGTTTTGCTAAATTGATTGATGAATTGTGCAATTGGCCAAGGGTACATGTTAAATGAATGAATAGTATGATTGAGTGTGGGAGATGTTATCCCATATGTTTGCATTCATAATGGTAATGCATATAGCTTATTTAGTTGACTTATGAAAAAATTTATGAAATGTTAAAGAATGAATTCCATGAGTCTCTTGAGGTATAAACCAAGATCAGAGGAATGAAATCTTTATGGAAACCATGAGTTCTTTGAGGTGACGACTAAGAACAAGGTAATGGTTCAAATGAATCCGATAAGATAATAAAGATTAATGAAAACATCAAGTACAAAGACAAAAGAAATAGGCATGCCATGTTTATGAATATTGCATAAGTCATATATGTTCTATGTTATATTATGTATGGTTATGTTATGACTTATGTTTATAAGGAAAGTCCAAAGTGTATGACATGTTTTATAAACTTGATAATGTCAATGAATGAAGGTCATGTCTTGTAGGTAGCTAAGGTCCTGAGTAATATGCTTGTATAATGAACCTTAATAGTTTATAAATGGCCATATTCCCTTACTGAGCGATTAGCGCTCACCCCACAAAATTTTTTTAAAATGTTTTGTAGGTAAGGATTGAAGCTTGAAGCTAGGAGAGGTTACTGGGAAATGACATGCGCATGAAGGAATGCTTTTGCTATGTTTTGACTTTTTGTTGTAAAATAACATCAAATGGTTTTTGGTTTATGGATGTTGAAGTAAATATGTTTTAATAAACCTAGTATGACCATTTCCTTGTCAAATGAATGAAAAAGGATAAATGATATTATATACTTATGATAATAACTCCATAGGAAGCTAAATTTCTTGAATCATTTTATGGATATGAGATGTTTAATATCATGCTTTTAAAAAAAAAAAAAAAAAAAAACAAAGACAAAACAGACAAAAGTATAGGTTTTGAAACAAACTCATTTCCTAGGCGTGTCTTTTCTAGGTTCTCAATGGCCAAGGGATACTTAGGAAATACCCGGATAGGGAGGGGTTTTACACGGATGCTAGTGACACTCATTAGGGTGCAGTGCTTTTTGAACAAGATGATGACAAAGTACGACATTTGTGTGGATACCAGAGTGGACAATTCAAACCACATCAATAGCATTATCATTCTACTTTCAAGTATTAGCAATAAAAAATGTCATTGCAATGTTTGAATTCCATCTTGTTGGACATCACTTCTTTGTTGAAATAGATATGAAGTCTTTTGATCAAATGCTCCAATTCAACAAGAAAAAGGTTCTGCATCAACAATTACTTCGATGGGCAGAATGGTTTAACAAATATTCCTTCACCGTCCAGCACATCAAAGGTCACACCAACACCATTGCAGATTATTTATCAAGACCTAAAACTAAACAAGTCGGTTTCATGAACCCTAGATCCAAACCACTTCCTTGTTTCATGTTCCAACCATTAATCTAGTCCAGTTCCTGTTCATTATCTTCTTCACCGAACCATATTCCAGACGTACCTCTTGAATTCGATGACCTTGTTCGAACTCGTACCATTGATGAAAATTCTACCACCCTCATGTTTTCTTATCAGATCCAATGCATTGAAAAATGTGGACAATCCATGTATGATATGTGTTGGTATAAAGCAGAATGATGGTGTAAAACAATGTTTCCAAGTACTGTATCAATATCAAGTATTTTGGTTTAAGGGAGAATATTGAGTATAACACTTGACTCTTATACGATGACGTTTTGTTCTTCTTGTAGCTGCTATATAAGTGCAGCGTTCTTCTGCCTGTATAGTTAGACAGTTAATAAAAAGTTTTCTGCTCTTAAACTCTTTAGCTCTGTATTTCGTCTCTCTCAAATATTTCTCTGTTTTACATTTTTCATTCAAGTCCGCTCTAGAATCTTCATGGTATCAAAGCTATAAGACAAACGTTAATAGCTCAATTGAATCCTGGATCTTCCAATATTTCTTCAAAATCAGAAATGGAGCAAGCTGGATGTGCCAAAGCAAACAATTCAGCAATGCATGCCACACTTCCCACAATTTCAGTAAAGCTTGTGGAAAGAAATTACAGTCACTGGAAATCTCAAATCTTTCCAGCTCTAGCATCCCGTGAGCTTGACGGTTTCATTACAGGTGAGAAAATTTGTCCACCTATG